ATATATATATATATATATATATATATATATTGTAAACTTTACTAGCATCAGGACACGAATTCGAGTAAAAGATACCAACATCTCTGGGATTTTAAGCTTGACACTAAAACTAATTTGCAAGCAAAGATCAATCCGAGTACAATAACTTTGTTTTGGCTGTACTTTACAGATATATATACTAACCTGAAATGTAAAAGGAACCCAAGTTAGTTATAGCTCCTATTTTAAAGATATCCACATAAAATAAGTAAAAAAAAATCATCTATAGGTATTTGCCATTTAAATTACATTTTGAAATGCGATCTACAATTTTCTAGTTTTGAGTCAGAAGATACAGGTAACAATATGTTCACAAATGACCAAAGAGCAAGCTTTACCGGGTTACAATATCATTTTCTGCAGATAAAATATAGCCAATTTATATTTTTAGCCGCTGCATAGCGGATCACAGAATGGCTCCGAGTTTGTTTGTACTTTTTATTTAAGTACAAACATTTAGCTCATAGCTCCGTCATCTCTTGACTGATTTGAGGTCTAATTACAGTTTCTGATTAAGGAGGTCAAACCCTTTCGATATATATATATTCGATCACACCCAATGTCTCATAGATTAATTTACTCTAATCCTGCCTAAAAGAAGTTCAAGTGCCACAGCTATCGAGAATTCCCTCTTGTTTTTTGTTGTTCTTTGTATTATAGAGCATAGCCACATTGGGTTATATGCTGTGTTCACTGATCGAACCCAGGATTTTAGCTTTGTAAGCCCGTAAACTCACCGCTTCCCACCAATGGACTCAAATATTTGGTTACAGACCTGCTGCGGCTATTGAAAATTCCCTCTTATTTGATAATGTATGTTTAAGATATATGTCATCTGGCTACTTGAGTGTATAACGTTTATGGCGCTAGTCTTAAGGCATTTTTCGACGGATCTTATTTTATTCTTTTATTCACGGTGGATGGTAACAAGATCTTTCAAGCTGTCTCAAAACCAACCCTCTTGTGTTAAAACTGAATAAATGGATTTATTGTGGGTTGTGTTAAAACCCCTCAAAATACAGTCCTGTACCTTCAAACAGAATGCTTTGATCTGTTGTGGCGCTGTGTTATAATTGCTTAACACAACCCTTCGAACAGTATACCTGGACCTGTTGTTCGTTGTGTCAGAATGATTGATAATAATAAAAACATACATCTACATTTAAATTCGACTCACTTGTAAGCGAATAAAGAAGCATATATAGCCTTTACCCGCACCGGTTAAAACAATGCTATTTCCTAACTTCCATTGTTATAAGATATATATATGTGTATTATAACAATCGAAGTTAGGAAATGGGACTTTGTACCCGGTGCTATAAAAGGCCGTGTCTGCTTCTTTATTTATATATAAGTGTGTACACCCGCACACACACACATATATATAGCGTATATATTTAAATGAATGCCTTGATCTCACCTAATTCACAGCAGAAAACTCGTGCAATAACTCTTACTAATATGAAGATTAGTGCGAGAAATCTTCAGGTATTTTTGCTATGTGAGTATAGTATCTAATTTCACGATTAAAAATATCGCGCGATACACCCCTTTTCACGTGACTTAAATTTCAGATCCCGTTTAAGCAAGGAACTACTCAAATGTGTTTTTTATACATCTTGTAGGGTTCAGTTCAAAATAATGGTGCAAGAACGGCTTAAACCTGACTGGTAGTACGTGATCTTATCTCTTATACCCAATGTATATAACAACTTCTTAAAATACTTTCATTCAGAGCAGGAAATTAAAAAAAAACACATATTGGGTTAAGCGAATGATGCAATAACAACATAACATAAAGACACGAGCCGTTAATTTTATGTTTTAAAGGTAATGTTGCTCTGCTTAATGACCATCTGTACTTAGCTCTGTTATCTTGCTGACTGACGACTACTATAACAACTAACTCTCTCACGCTGCGTCAATGATTGTAACAGTCTCACTAGATTTTTGGGCAAATATTTATATCGTGTTATCTTTGGATATCATTCAAAGTTAATTTAATTAATCCTGACAACAAAGTGGTTTTATATTTGGCAAGATGATTCATGAAGCCAAACTCTCCATATGGATATAGTTGTGTGCAAATTGTTCACGTGGTCTTAGTTGTGACAAGACACTCGTGTAGACATACTTATAACCAGAGTCCACCCACAAAGTATTAAACCAGGACAATCCGGTTGTACCTATTTACTAAAAAACAAAAAGGTGGGCTTCTATATAGATCTATTTGAGAAAGAACCGTCCAAGTAGACGTCGTTTTTGCAAAGCACTCCAACTATATGTCAATTTCTTGTTAGTAACTGCAAGAGCCTTCAACAAAGTGATGTTGTTACAAAGTGTTAAAAGGTTACCTGCAAAATGGAAGGCCTGATAGCTAAACTAATAAGATAACTTATGAAATGTTCAATACTAAATTGGCGCGGATGTGAAACAAGTCTTAGTTCTGTATTTTCTCTATGTGTTAAGTAGGTTATTCGATTTACTCATATTTAGCATTGTGAACCACCGGTACCCTAGCGTAAAGAAAACGGACTCAGTCTGCTACAACCTTCGTCACTTCGCTAATCGTGTCCTCTTCATTCGGATTTAAGGCTATTACAGAACACAACAGTGATGTTTTTAAACTACAGGCTCGAACTTTTTCATTTCTTTAAGGAGCCTTCACGGACAACAAATCAGTGTCAATCAGTAGAAAGAAGCTCTCGTAGGTTTGTGGTAGTAATACTAAAATATAATATAATAATGATTTTCTAAATAACATTTGTATCCTTGAGAACAATTACTTTCCATGAGGATTTTATTCGTTATGTTAGGTTAATATATAACTGATATGACATTTTAATAAAGAGTAAAAAACTAGGAATATGTTATATGAAACCTTTATAACTAGAACTGCACTTTGGAGAATGTGGTCTCTGTACATGGTTACACGTAATTTTAACAGAGTTAAAACTAGGACTGAAGTTTAACCACTAAGCTTTCTAAGCCTTTATAGCTAGAATTACAATATTTTTGTCCGGTTACGAGTAAGAGAACTATCTCAGTTGATAGTTTTATCATTCAAGACGATTCTCAAGACCGCGGTATCTTTGAAAAAGGGATTACACATATAGAAGTCATGTGGAAATATAAAAACTAATTTTTCTTAATTATAAACGTTATCCATGTTTTACAGGAGCAACAGGTTCCCCGGCTATCTCCACAACGCTACTTATATTTATCCACATCGGCCAGCTGAACTTGTCTTTCGAGATGTTTGCGTCTCCTATGATGAGAAGCAGATTCTTCAAGACGTTAGCGGAATGGTACGACCAGGGGAGGTGCTTGGGGTCATGGGTCCAAGCGGTGGGTAATAGATTTTTAACTCACCATGCACCATTTGTTAGGAAGGTTTACTAATTCTTTCACTCGTGCGTTCTTAGAACTTATACACCTGCTTCCTTCAAACGTAGTCTTTTGATATATATTTAGAGGCCAAACTAGTTTAATGGTTTAATTAATCTATTATTTTATCTGTTTTACACACAATCAAGTTATTCAAGGCGCGAGACTTTGCAGTTTTTCAACAGTGTAATAACTGTACTTAAGAAAGGGTTGTGTTAATCTCTCTCTCTCTCTTGTGTATTCCTTCTATGTGATAACATTTGACCATAATGAACTTTTTGTTCCAGGTTCAGGTAAGACGACCTTACTCAACGCTCTAAGTGGCAGGTTGAAGACAGACTCGGGTCTCATTACCTTGAACGGAGAAACCCTCACAAAAAAGCTACGGAGAAAAATCTGTTATGTGACACAGCAAGATATCTTCTTCCCAAATCTCACCTTGCGCCAAACACTCACAGTAAGTACTCAGTTAACACGTAACAAGATATCTTCTTCCCAAACCTCACCTTGCATCCAACACTCACAGTAAGTACTCAGTTAACACACAGCAAGATAGCTTCTTCCCAAACCTCACCTTGCACCCAACACTCACAGTAAGTACTCAGTTAACACACAGCAAGATATCTTCTTCCCAAATTCATATTGCACCAAACACTCACAGTAAGTACTCAGTTAACACGTAACAAGATATCTTCTTCCCAAATCTCACCTTGCGCCAAACACACACAGTAAGTACTCAGTTAACACGTAACAAGATATCTTCTTCCCAAACCTCACCTTGCACCAAACACTCACAGTAAGTACTCAGTTAACACGTAACAAGATATCTTCTTCCCAAATCTCACCTTGCGCCAAACACTCACAGTAAGTACTCAGTTAACACGTAACAAGATATCTTCTTCCCAAACCTCACCTTGCACCAAACACTCACAGTAAGTACTCAGTTAACACACAGCAAGATATCTTCTTCCCAAACCTCATCTTGCGTCAAACACTCACAGCAAGTACTCAGTTGATATAGTTGTTCAGCATCGAACTAGGTAACTTATACACTTACAGATTTTTATGGTTTTATGCCTTTGCACAAATAATGTAATGAGGTCATCTTTTAAAGAGGTTTTAATTTTTTTTCTGTGAAAGTAAGACCGTGTTTTATGTTTCACCAGATAGCTCAACGTACTACACCTCTTGATAAAATTGGCAGCTCTTGGTTTGTACGTTTTAACAACATGTGTATTCGTATGGATTGCGTCTTGACATTTTTCTTATCTTTACTGGCATATTATTTACTCAGATTTGAATTTTGTGAATATAAGTTGTTTAGGTAATCCAGGAAACATTTCATTTGTTGGTATAAATACTTATTCAGATAATCAGATGTTTTAATGCTAAGTTTGCTAAATTATCTTTCAAATCGACATCGAAAACATTTGCTAATAATACACAGCTGTGAAAATATCATGGTTTGTATAGATGATTAAATTAACTGTGCATATATGAACTAGATGAAGTTCATTTACCGAGCGTGGCCCAGTGGTTAGCGTGTCGGACTGTGAAGCTGAAGTTTCGTGGTTCGCGTCCCATTACCAGAAAATGAAGAAAAAATCTCGCCACGCATTTTGGAGCCATGGGTGTTTTATAAGAGTGACGGACAAATCCTACTAGTTGGTCAGACCCTAGTAGCTCAAGTTTAATGGCGGGTGTTATTAGCTATCCTCACCCTAATCTATCGGTTTCAATCTAGGGACGTCTGTGCGCAGCTAGCCTCGCTGCATCCCTGCGTGAAAATTCTAAAAACAAAGAAACAAACTTTTCGAGTTAACTATAGTATGATCTGTGTTACTGTGAAGTCAGTTGGATCTATAAAAATAGATACCATTTTACTTTACAATAAGGGGTTATCTGTGCTAGTCATTTCTAGCTTTGAAGTGATAGACTAAAGGGAAGGCAGCTAGTCAACATTACCTAGGTGTTTGACCAAATAGTGGGATTTGATTATCCTTCTTTTACCGCAAAGCGCAGAGTACGTTTCTGTGGTAAGGCAGAAAAAAACCTTAAATTCTTCGATTCACAGTAAAGGCATGCTGCCTAGAGTACCCACCCGGCCCAGAATCTTGTATAAAGGCTAAAACTAAATAGTGATTTTGACCAATAGGCCTAAAGTTTATGAAAAATCATATCTAAACGGCAACTTTTGCCGTTTAAACCGCAACTTTTAAATAACGATTTTATTTGATTTTATATACAAATCCGATTAATGAAGCAAGTATGTATTTCGGAAAGAGAACTCTTTTTTTGTTCGCACACGTTCTGTAAGCCAGTAACAATACCATCATGTGCATATTAGCCGACAGTGTTTGTACTCGTGATGTCTGGAAACCAGCAATAATGATTACCATCATGTGTATAATCAGCCTACAGTGTTTGTGTTAGTGATATTTGGAAACTTCTAAGTATGATTATAATCATGTATATATCAGCGTACAGTGTTTGTAGTGACGTCTGGAAACTTTGAATAATGATTACCATCATGTGTATGTCCGCCTACAGGGTTTGTATATTTGGAAAACAGAATGAAATAATAACCTGGTTAATGACATCTGTACTTGTGACTGTATGATTGTGTGGATATCAACTACATATGTTATGTATTTATTCTAAATATTCCACTGCTAGAGCCACAAGCTTTTCGTCGCTTTCCCCAATATGATAATCAAAACTGTGACCAGAATTAAACGTTTCGTCAAGCAGCTTTATAGTAGTTTTATTGAACATTTTATGTTTAAAAATGGATTAAAATGTCAGTGTACTTGGAAAAACCTTAGTTTTACTCTATAGTAATAAGCACCAAACGAAAAACAATTCATGTGCCACTAAATTATTGGTAAGAAATAAGCAAAAGCCTTTGGGTTCTCTCGTTATATGGTAATAAAAAACCCATTAAAATCAGAGAAAACTCGAAGTGTTGAATATGTATATCGCCTTAAATAAGTATGAAAGTTGTTCACTCTAAGGTGTTATAACTCTAAGTTTGAGTGTTGTATAATCATTTATACTATCACCTATAAACAGATTCATTAGATGGGATTCGAAGTTTAGTGATGAACAAAAAGAACGACGGCAATATGCATCTGATACTTGAACGTTGCGTGAGATACCTACAGGGTTTTTCCACAGGAAATATTGTGGAATTTCATTTAACATTTTTCCAGTCTGTAAATATTTGGGAATTCTATATAGGCTTCGGAAAAATTACATTTTAAAAATCTAACAATTTGAAGTATTTACTTTTTCTTCGTATTGATCGCCTAGGCGTCGGCTGCAACATTATGGGCAATTGGCTGGTTGCACGATGTATGCGATCAACCTATGTACAACGTGATCTAATCAGAAAGAGTCCTACAACAGAGATTTTTCATAATTAGATATTGGAAAATATGTGCCTCGCTACCCAGGCTGATGTTTTGTTGACTTCACACGCGTATTTCTGGTGTACGTCTCCAAGCTACTCTTATAATATAATGCTTAGAATGTTAGGGCGTCGATGGTTGTAGTGTTAATTGTATTTAACAGGGATATTTTGATAGCTTGGCCTCATTGCTATGATAGGTAGGTTGAAACCACTACCATTATCAATGTTTCTGGAGACCACTTGGGAAACTTAAATTATAGTTTAACATAGGGATCATCTAAACATGTGCCACAAATCACGTAAATATACCCGAAAGAAGTTGTTACAAGTTTACCTTGCATGTTATTCATACTTCTCCATTTAATCCGTAATGCTTACAACTAAAGATTTCGCGGTTGTTCAGAATATAAATAAAACTTAGCATGGCACAAACATGCCAAAGTGAACAGGGCAACACCGCGGGAGCACGGTCGCAAAGCGACTAGTTATAGAATTGGTAACAAATAATATAGCTGGACTATTAAATAGCTTATTTTGGCAAATCATTTGGTCATAAAAATGTTGGACAAAATGTAAATAGTTTTCTCCTTTCCTGGGATTAATGTTAATCGATGAGCATGCTCTACGAATATCTACCAGAATCCCTAATAAAACATCAAAGGGCAAAGTGTTAGAAAATCATAGGTTGAAATATTACATTCCTATAGAAAATGATGGCGATAAGTCATTTATATTATATTCTCGAGCTATGTGATGTGTCCACCATGGGGAATCGAACCCGCGGTTTTTGCAATGTAAGCCGTAGACTAACCACTGTCCCACCAGAGTACTAATGAATGTTTTCTGGAAAAAATATTGGAATCATTCTTTTTTTTTCTTGCTGAAAGTGTGAGAACCATATTTCATTACCAATCTATCTTAAACAATGTAAAATATAACTTGCTGCAGATGAAATCTTTATATTACGAAACGTTCAAATATTAAATATCTGTTGCTGTTTTACAAGTGTCAAATGTTTTTTGCTCTTGTCGTTGTGCTTTTGCTCATCACTGTCACATGAGTATGTGATTACAGTTTGTAGTTTTAAAGCCCAAAATGCCATCATCTTAAATCTGGGACTTATAACCTCCAAAATATTACCAGCCTAAAGTTGGATCTTATGAAGTCTAAGATCATTATTATTTTTCCAGGGTGATCTTACTGACTTTCCAAATTCATGTCTGCTAAAGTTAGAACCCTGTAGAGTCCAAAATCTTATCACCTCAAGCCTGGATCATATATATTTGTTTCTTTATGAACCCAAGTTTATATCTTTTTGTAGCCCTATATTACGCTAAGCAATGTCTGAATTCTACAGCATCCAGAAATTTTGTATGCTTTAATTTGAGTTTGTATTTGTTATCCTAGGTCGAGATCTCGTTGAATACGAGATTTCTATTACCTAAAGGTTGTACCTGGATTGATATATTTCCATTTTAGCTTTTCCTAAATTTACAAATCATAAATTAATTTTATACATATTAGCTAACTATTTAAAACTAATAATCTTAACAAATTAACACTTTTATTTTAAATGTAGAGGGACGGTATTGACTTTATCCAAGTTAGAAAGATAGAGTTACACAGCCGTGACTTTATGAACAGGACTGAATTTTTGACCAAATCTCGGATATTGCCACAGCTATTTCAAATTATGGACTGCCACTGTTCTTATGTTTCGGAAAAGATCTAAATATTGTTACATTACCTGAAAACAGCAGTTTCGTATATGTTTTAGATTAAGAGAAATATGCAGTTGAGAAGTGATAAAAATATTGTTCTTCTCACTTATTGAAAAGATGAGACATATAGTGAACAAAAGAGGACTAGTACGAAACAAAACTCCACTGGTAGGTTTTAATTTGAATTAGGACTACCGGCATGGAAAAAAAAAGCTCCACTGGTAGGTTTTAATTTGAAAGATGATGACCGAACGAAAGAAAACTCCACTGGTAGGTTTTAATCTGATCTAGTGTTTGAACCCTGTCATACATATATTAATATTT